TTATTAAGTCTGACTGCTATCAGCGTGTTGCTGTGACTATCCGATAGTACCCAGTACTGTATGTTGTATCCAACACCCAAAGAAGCGCATACATTGCGCGTTAGCAATCAAGCAGTGCTTGAAAACTTGAACATTGAACGTATTGATACCAGTATCGTATGACAGACACTCTGGTCACCATCAACCACACCATAATAAACCCAAAAGTTCTGAATATCAAACAACATTTGCAAGTGAGCTCGAGCTAAAGGCGATGCCCACATTTTCTCTTCCATCCGCCATAAGTTTTTTACCAGAATTTGTTGTCTCCATGAACGTATCTGTAGATCAAAAAGAAAAGCATAGGATAGGATAGAAATAACAGGGAAATATCGACAAACTACTTCTCCCCCGTTTTTGCTCACGTTTTGCGTCTTCTTGTCTTGTCTTGCCCATTCGCCTCGAATTAAGAATCAGAACTAAAGAAAGTGTTTTTAAATAATGACAAAATAAACACAATATAGCCACACATATTTTCACTGCCTACTAATCTCCGTTTCTTCGCTTCTCCTTCAAAGTAAACACTCCCCCGCCGAGAGATCTCCAACACACTTGCCCCAGACCTAAAAGAATGTGCACTCCATTTCCAGCTCAATGTACGCGCGAGCCCATTCGATTCACCCCCCAACTGTACCAGCGATAGTACTCGAATACCCATCTATTGTCCCTGTTTAACACTTATTCGCCGTTTCCTGCCCGTTTCCCATGATCCTTTGGCCTGTAACACTGAGCGCTTGTTGACGATGATTTATACCCCTTTTCTTCCAACACGTATTACTTTCCTTAACCGAATTCTACCATGCCATCGTAATTCTTTCTTCCTTGTCCGACACAACTCTCATCTCACAGAAAATTACCCCATATTCGGTGGATATTTGTGACGGACTCGAAAATGAACTCCGAAAGCAAGAAGAATAAACGCAATTGACCAAGCCGCTCCTGATGAGCAATCTTGGTATATATGAACACAATGCACACAATGAACAGTCGATAAGAACAGAGACGAGAACGCCAGTCTTCTTCCACCTCCCACTGATTCAAACCCTATTCCCCTTTTTAAAGTATCTTTTGTCTTCCCCCCATTTCGCCATTTCCATACCAACAAATGTGGCCAATGAATAATTACTCGCACGATTTTAACAAAAACAAAAATGAAAGGAAATAAACGAAAGGAAATAAACTAGCTGAGGTGTTAGGCCCCACGTCGGCGGTTTTTAGGTCTTCGAGATTTAATATCGTCCCTTTAATCAAAGTGGGTTTGTCCGGTGTAAAAGTAGATTCATAGCTCCTTCCTCAAGTAGATCATATTCTGCATGTCCTTTGAACAAACATTCCATGGATCCGAGCGTCGAGCAAAGACCCAAATTATCTCGATGAAAGACTTGAGACATATTCTCTCGAGGGCGCTGGAAGGCCATCATGTGAGACTGGGGGCATTTGTGAAGGAAGTTGCAAGAGCCCATGATTCTGCATCTGAGTGGGTAGGTTTGGGGTTGGATAATGACTGGATGTGTGAGGAACATACGTTTGTCCATTTGCTAATAGACTACTTCCGCTGCCGCTAGACTTTCGGTTATTAGCCGGCCATGTATTATCAGTGGTGTTGGTCTGACTATTTTGACGACTTTTGCTGGGCTCGCTTCCACTGCTTGTTCCATAGTGGCTTATATCCGTGGTGGACTCATTGGTCTGAGTGTAATACAGATTGCCATTAATAGTTGATGCATCATAAATTTCCGAATCTTGCTGTGATAACGAAGATTGTTGTCCTGATTGGTAAGCAGCAGTAGCAGCGGCTGTAGTGATTTCGTGAGGGCTGCTTGTGGAAACGCTCATATACGGATTTGTCAGGGGCATTTGAATCGAAGAATTGATTTTTGCAGAGCTGTTCACGTTTGAGCTCATGAATCCATACGGCTGGAGCGAGTTCTGTGAACTAAAAGCACCGTCATTTGTGGACCCGTATTGTCTGTTCGGGTATGGAAGTTGCCTCTCGGTGGTAGTGGCAACATTGAGGGCAGCTTGCGAAGATGTGGTGGCTGCACTTGCAGTTCCATAAGATGGGATGCATGTGTTGTTTGGGACACAAAAATTCTTTGATTCCGAGTCAACCATTGAGCGCGCATTATAACTTTGATATGCAGAATTATAATTCGCTGTAGCTTCTGAGTCCATATACATTGGCGCCGGAGGGTTTACGCGTGTGCGCCCGTTGCTCTGTACTGGATAATTAGACACAGAGACGGAATCTTGTGCTGCCACTTGATACGGGGTTGAACTTGACAAATTGAATTCGGCAGGTTCTTCGGTGAAGTTATCGTAGGACGAATTGAGATATTTTGGTCCTTGGAAGCCATAATTAGAATAACTTGGGCGAAGAAGATTAATGCTATCGGGACCCAAGTTGAGGGTCTGTAACGTCTGATAGTAATTGTTGTTGTACGAGGCGTTTGAAGGCATTCGGTACATTGGGCGCAAACTGTCATCAAAGCAATCAGCCGGAAGATCCTTTGCTTGTTCTAGTCGCATAGCCGTCACCTAAATTACTTGAGTTAGTATACATCGTTTTGAACAATAGGCTGGTCGGACGTACTCTCAAGAACTCGCATGGTTCTGAAGAGGACTGTTTGCAGTGGTAACATGGCCTGCCATTGTCTTCGCCGCTGCACCGAATCTTGCGCTTTCGGCATCTTTGACACTACGAGAAAGTTTGATCAGTAAATTCATTCAAAGCGGTGGAAAGTTCACAGTGCGGTAAACAGAAGTTTGGGTGGCATACTGCTACCTGAATTCTGCGCCTCATTTGATGATGTCCCGGTTCGGTGTTTTCTGGTCCACGATCATTGCTTCGTCCATCGCTATACGTCCGAGGTGGGTATGAATGATCGGAGCGTTCTTGAGCCAGTGGATAGCTTTGACCGCGCGGACCGCATCTACGGAAGGTAGGCTCCTCCTCTGCGAAGTATCCTCGAGTGACCATCTGAATTCGATAAGTAATAGATCGGATGTTATTTAGACCTTCATCGGTGCACTGCCTGGCTTACCTTGAAAAGATCTTGGGAAGATTTGAGAATTTGAAAGCAGTTGGGTTCAACTTGTGTACAAAAACAAATGTGTCAAGCTTCAATAGGATCCGAGATGAATCAAGGACCTGGGGTTTATCAAATCCTGGGGCTGTCAGGCGAAAGCAAGCATATTATAATGGGTACAACAGAATTTGTGATGTTTGTCTTTATGAAAGATTTCCTGCATACTAGTGCTGCCAAACCTGAGATATGATTAAAATAAACAGAATAAATGATTTAGCTTTGTGGCCCCTTTGCGGGCTTATGCATCTGCTATGTAATTTGGAAGATCGACAAGTACTTCCGGCACTTAAGCAAACAGCATAAATTCTGGGGTATAGATTCCAGCTTCCTGGTTAGCTTTCAGGGTTCAAATTTCTCAGAGCCTACAGTGGTGGATGCAAATATTCAATTTATGATGAGACTGTCTCGATAAGTGAAACAATTTCACCGTAGAACAAAGAACTCATGAGCCTCAGTAAGCTCATCTTACCTACTATTTAGGTGGCATATAAATTTGGAAATTCATGTAGCTTTCCGCATTCGCCCCCATATGTGTTTTTTTTGACACCTACCAGGCTAGGAGCAACTTTACTCCTTCTAGACAGAGCTACATATCATTGTGAATGACAGATAACGACATTTGCGCCTTGTAGCATTGCAATGAATTCAGCAAACAATTGAATAAAGATACGAATTATGGAACAATTATGAACCTACAAACGATGTATCACCGCTGGTGCTTGTCATACTCTGCTCCTCAAATCTTGCGCTACTTCGCTCCTCAATCCGTTACAGGTAAAAGAGTCAATACGCACCCAAATTCTCAATACGGGGTACGTAACACATATCTTGATGCAGGAGAGCAAGGTCTAATCAAGTCCATGTCAAAACCTTGGAAGTCTAGCACTATTCCAGCACAATTTGACTGAACGCGCCACTGTCAGAGAAGAATCTCAAACCCTCTCAGAGTTTAGCTCTGATTTACATGATTATTCAATCACATTCAATCAAATTTTGCTCCTTCCAATGGAATTGGAGCAAACAAATCCAGCTCAACGAATTTCCATTCCTGGTCTGTTTGCTTCCAGCCGAATTCTGGCCACAACCAAGCAATGTTGTATAACTTCTTTCTGCAGTGCAGTATATTCCATTTCTCTTTGGAAACCGATTCAAAACGGCTGGCAGGGTATCTGAGTTTTTTTTCTAACAAGGCGATGCTCAGGCAATGCAACGTGACTGGTGCGAACATCAGTTTAATTACATCAATGTAAATTCTGGTATTACAGATGGAATAGCACAGATGGAGAGCTTTGGGCTCAGACGCTTAAGAGAAACTCTGTCGCTTCGCACAATTTCTTTTGCGCCAATTCGAGTAGAAAGCAAGTGAAGTCGTCGTAGTACCGATGATGATGATGATGATGATGATGATGATGATGTGCGAGGTTGTGTAATAGAAATAGAGCAGTACCAGTTAGTTACTTCAAATGCTGAGAGAATACAAGCCAACCATCGGGATGCCGATGACTACGGGCTTCCATTCTGTATCTCGAAGCAAGATCGTCTTCTCGTAGAATGCGTATATTATGGGAATAAAGGGCTACATATCGAGATAGCTAGCAGTTGTTAAAAGTGTCACGAAACTATTGAGTATCTCCCGGGCTTTTGGTGTTAGATCTATTTTGATAAGGTACAGTCCGGCCGAGCTGTAAACTCGTGAGGATCGGGTCATCGAAACCCTGGCATGGGCATCAAATTCCGACTTACTCTTTGTTGATTCTATAATTGCGTGACTTTGAAAGCATTTTGTAAGAAGACGCGGCGGGAATAATACTTCCCCGAGGTGGACCAAATCATGGCGTGCATACCATGCAACATCATAAGAATTATGGGCAGTTATTGATAGATCATAACGGGTGGCTGCTTCGCGTGCTCTGCTAATATCTGTGCAATATGCGCGTATCCGTTTCGCATAACTGACGAGGGCCAATGAGAACCACCGAAGTCCAATGACCTGGTAATGGATGTTTCTTCAAATAAAATGTAGTGATATGTTACGCCTTCCAATGCAGGCTGAAAATCTTGAGTAGACAGTAATAGCCACTTTCCTCGAAGATGAAGGCCAAGACGTTGCGCTGCCTCGATGGAAGCCAAAGGGAATGGCGTTTGCACAGATCGCATTAAGGAATGTAATCTATAGTACCGAAGCTACGGTGCAGCCGTGCGGTGGGAGCTGCATGAAGCGATCGAGATATAGATGCCCTCAGCATGGAGACCTATCAACGGCTCCTCGGACGTTTTATTTTCATCTACCCGCCCCTTTGTCTGCAGCCATTTCGGATACGAAATTTGCGAGTCCAATAGGAAGAACAAATCTTTTAGCGACAGCATGTTGACCAACAATTGACACCTACTATCTTCAAGGCTGCGCGAAGATTGGATGAATATTCGGCGCGCATAGTTTAACATGCAGACATCTGCGCATTCTTCAAGACAGAAGGTACGGGAGTGGCACGTGATATGTGAGGCAAGCGTGTCTCCGTCGTTTCTGTTTTCTTCATCAGATGAAGAGCGAGTTGGAGGATGTGCATTTCACTTACTCAGATATTTTCTCGGGCATTTATTCAATTGAATCAATTGAGCCGTACTTTAATTGGCTGGAGTTCAAGTGATTTATGAAATGCTGGATATGAATGGAGAAATCTTCTTTCCCAGACTCAACACAATGTTTGACACCATGGCTGTCGGGGGCGAGAATTCAGTTAAATGATGAAGTTAACGAATATGAAATCGAGTATACAGGAGCTCAGCCGGTTACTTGAAGAGGGCTATTATATGTATGTGAAAATAAAGAAGCTAGAGCGCCAAACTGCTGTGATTGGTGATTTGCGCTTTTAGTTTCGCAAAGTGACGATCTTGTATTTTAGCCGCGGTTCCGCGCTTGTGCGATGATCAACTTACCTGCATCACAGCTTCACAACCCGGCATCGGCATTATTCAACAATCATGAGTGTCCTTCTTGAGACCTCTGCTGGTGATATTGTTATTGACCTACTGGTCGATTATTCTCCTAAACTTTGTGAGAAGTAAGTCTTGAATCCCAATGCCTCCCCGTGTCTTATGAAGTAGCTGAACACATAGATACTAAGACGATCGCGGTAATCTAGCTTCTTAAAGCTCTGCAAAATCAAATATTATAATTTTTCTCCGATCTATGGCGTACAGAAGAATTTCTCGTGCCAAACTGGCGATCCGATAGGACCTGATTCGAAAGATAGCGACGGGGGAAGCTCAATATGGGGTTTATTAGAAGGCCCAGCGAAAAAGACATTCAAAGCAGATTTTCACCCAAAATTAAAGCATGCGGAAAGGGGAACTGTCAGTATGGCGACCGCGCCGTCAACGAGAGATCCAGATGAACGTCTCGCAGGCAGTCAATTCATAATCACTTTGGGAGACGACCTAGATTATCTGGATGGCAAGGCAGCTATATTTGGCAAAGTGGTAGAAGGATTCGATGCGCTCGAGAAAATCAACGATTCATTTTGCGACGAGAAAGGACGGCCTTTGGTAGACATACGAATCAAGCACACGGTTATCTTAGATGATCCTTATGATGACCCGGCAGGTCTTGTCGAACCACCAGAAAGTCCTGTGCCTTCCAAAGCGCAACTAGCTACGATTCGTATTGGCGAAGATGATGATTTGAATGAAGAAACAGATGTTGAGGCTGTTGAGAAACGGCGACGAGAGCGGGAAGCACGAGCGCAAGCCTTGACTTTGGAGATGGTTGGAGATCTACCTTTTGCGGAAGTCAAACCACCTGAGAATGTTCTTTTTGTGTGCAAACTTAATCCAGTTACTACAGGTAGTTTCTATGATTTACATTGATTATCATTATGAACGCTAACTTTCTATTCTCAGATGAGGATCTTGAACTTATTTTCAGTCGCTTTGGCAAGATTCTCTCTTGCGAGGTGATCAGAGATAAACGGACGGGGGATAGTTTACAGTATGCTTTTATTGAATATGAGGACGAAAAGTCATGCGAACAAGCGTACTTCAAAATGCAAGGCGTTCTTATAGACGATCACAGAATCCATGTCGACTTTTCCCAAAGTGTATCAAAATTATCTGATACCTGGCGAACGGCAACAAATTCGAAGCGAAGACAGGGAGGCGGCGGCTTTGGTGGTGTTAGTGGACTGGAGAAAAAGAGGCAGTATAGAAATGCGGAATATAGCTCGGGACCAAGAAGGGACAGATACGGTATGGTTATCGATGAGGACGAGCTGAGGAAAAGACATGAAAGGGAAGGAAAACCCGATGAGAGTAGGAGAGAAAGAAGCAAAAGTCCACGTGAGGAAAAGAGAGATTATGGCTCTCGGGACGACCGACGAGATGGTGGTCGCAACAGGGAAGGTAGATATGATGATAGGGACCGGAGGGACAGGGGCAGATATGACGACCGTGATAGGTATAGAAGCGACCGAGGCCCACGGGATGACTACAGGCGGCGATAGTGATTCTTGGGAAGGTTGAAAAATCTGGCGTTATGGGATGTCTAGGAGACACATGGAGGAAGGCTCACATGATCCGTATCTAAATTGACTGCATTTTCCAATTTCAATATCTTGACGGCAAACCAAAAGCTCAAGCACATACATACGTAATCAATCTTAACCCAATAACTACCCAAAAATACTATACCACGACGGCATACCACCGCGCAAAGCACTCATAATTTGATGTAATTTGAAAAAAAATACCCACTTTACAGTATCACGCGAAGCGGAGATTATTGAAGTGATTGAATATAGATATGAATGTAGATGGATTGGATATTTGCATGTCAGTATAAGATATGATGTCGTCTTATTTTTCACCTAATTCCTAAGTGGTTTTGGAGTCGGGTCAAGTTGAGATAGTCCTGTAAGTATAACTTCTGGGAGAGGAAGAGGGAGGAAACGAGTGGTATGGGTTGAATGAGATGAGACGGGATGAGCAATCGAAGAATGCAGGTGTGAAAGTAAATGCAAAGAAAGAATCACGGATGAGATTGATGTAGACAGGTGAAAATATCTGGACACACCATCATTCAAATCTTATGCTGTTTAATGTTCAAGTGTTGTCAATGTCAAACATTCTCTCAAGTTGAACATTCGAAAATACCTCCCATTCCCATCTATAGTAGGAAACTGAAACTCCCTTCACATGTATTCTGTATCTCTAAAGAATTTTTTGCATTTTGTTTTCAAACATGATTCATTGTTAATTAAAATCTCATTTCATCCTCTCTTCCGCTTCCCTCACTCTAAAGCTGTGCTGGGTTACCAGTCTGTCTGCCCTTTGAACTTTAACATTCTAGGTATCCTTTCCTTCCTTGCCATATTAAAGCATTTTACATGTCTTCCAATATCCCCCTCAATATGTCATAAATATGTCATAAATATCGGTAGTACGTGACAACTGTATTGTTGATTGATATCGCTGAGCATTGGGCTTTTTAAACTTTGCTCGGAGCTCAGATTTTTGAACTTCGAAGCGATTTAGTAAGTAGGCAACAAGAGCTCGTTGGTTTGGCAGTTCATTAGAGATTAAATTATTCCAAAATTCCCTCTGCGCCTTACTTAATTGCTTTTTGTCACCATCGAGAACGAAGGGGCGTTTAACCATTTCCACAATATCAGCCTGTACGCGAAGCCTCGCCCTTTTGATGCCCACTACTCAAGCCCCCCTTCTCATCGATACCGGGCGCATTCTCGTTCGTAACGCCACTATACGCAGGTCTCGAAGTGCCATTCGCTTGGGTAATGTCTTCCGCCAAAGCATCTTCATAAGAAGGTGGAGCATCATCTAGAGCTGGTGCCCCTGGCGCTCCAACTTGAGGTGGAAATGCCGGATCAAAAGGTGGCGGTGCTGTGTTGACTGGAGGTCTTACTGGAATAGGGGGATGAGCTGTCATGGCGTCTAAAAGTGCCGCTGGTGGTTCAATGCCGGAGAAAATTTCAATTTTGAATCTAAGAGGGATTGATATTGTTTGCGACTGAGTTTGTTAGTTTTTATTCACGTACTCCTGAAGTAATTCATGATAAGACATACCTGAATCTCTCCTGGGTAGCCATAACCTAATCCAATCCTCACCTCAAGTTCGTATCGACGAGCAAGATTGCAAGTGACAAAGGAAGGGGCAACGGTATTTGGCAAAGGAATTGCATCCCATAATTTGCTATCTATGGCTGTCTCACTACCGATCGGATCGTCCGGTGATCCAATAGGAATGGATAGTCCAGTCAAACTCATCACAACCCAAGTACTTGTTTCAACTCTAATAACATTTGAAGCCTTTACTTCAGTGGTACCAAGAAGATTTACTTGCAAAGACATGAGAAACACATGCTCAGGGCTTGTGTTAGTTCTTCTAAGGAGAATCCTCATTGGTAAAGGCTTATTGCAAGTCAAGATGGGAGGACTAGGTAGTCTAGCATCGACTTCTCCTTGCGGGGACGTATTTGATAGCTGCTTTGGTTTCTTCGTGAATAGACCCTTTTTCGCATAGGTTGGTCCCCCATTTTGGAACATATACGGTCGTTTTGCAAACGCTTCATTTGTGGTCTTAGGAGGCCTTGGAGCTTCGATCGGCAGAAACTTAAATCCAATTGTTGATCTTCTATTTTCCTTAAACATTGAGGGTCTTTGTACAGTGACTTTGACATAATATCTTATCTCGGCTTCCCCCGGAAATCCTGTAAGTGAAGGAGGTAATGTCCTTTTAACATGTGTGTACTGCATCTGTTGCATGCCCTGAATTCCAAGACCTCCAAACCCACTACCAGGACCCATTTGTTGCGATGCCGGATCATGGCAGCCATTGTTAATGGGCAACTTGATGCGGAATGGGTACTCATGTTGCCCTGCTCTTAGTGTATATGAACTGATGATTGCTTTGTTGGGAAACACTTCTGCGACCTTGTATAGAATCTTGTGGTTCTCCTGACATATTTCCTGTCTATCCCGCCTCGAATAAAGTGCAGGAGGATTGTTGGGACCTTGTGTGTATAACATTTCTGGTGGTCTCGATAGACGGGTTTTGCTCTCCCCCTCGACCTTCACGACTATTCTGCTAACCGCTTCATCGCTTGTAAGGTTCAGAATGACTCTGCCGCTGATGAAATCGAGATTCGTGTAAAAGCTATGAGGATTGTCGAGTTGTATTCGAACAGACATTTTTTTGATCACTAAATTATATGTTGCGAAATAACGGTTTGACGATTAGTATCTGACTATAGGGAATGAATAACCTTTGAAAGCTTTCCAACGGCTTCGTACTGTTCGCACTGTTGGATGATTTGTGGCTAGGCAAGTTTCAAGTGCTCAGCCTCGTTGCCCTTGATTGGGACTGCGCGTCCGAATTGCTTTGCTGTTTGTAGAGGTCTCGTACGAGATCCGAGAACTCCGAATACGCTCGTTAATGGCCAATCAATTTATGTATGGAGCATGTATGGAAGATCATCCATCCATTCTTTGAAGGAAGCTATTTGATAGTTCGCACAGCCCTGTGCGTTATGCGAGATGATGCTGTTTTAGGAATGACGCTCAGCTCACCGGGGGTTTCTTGTAGCTTGTCCGTCAGCCCACATTCCCCATCCCTGTTGTTTACTTTAATCAGACTTCATCCCGTACGAGTAGAAGTTATTGGATTGTTATGATCGATATAATATTAATGAATGCAGTGGCAGGGCAGAATTTCAAAGACTTCAATATCACCTACCAAGCCGCGTAATATTCTACTCCAATCTCCAGTGAGATTGGAGATAGAAAAGAATTAAGGGCCATCGAAGCTGGTAATGGAAAGACTGATAGAGATCAGAATGTTCAATATCAGGTTTCTGCAGTCACATGGTCAAGACCTAGGCTCTCTATCACCGTGTGGTACATTCAACTCGTGGCACATCTAAGTTATTTCGTACGTATTCGTTCTACATAATGAGTACACTTGAGATACAGGGGCTGTCCCTAAGGTTACTGTGCAACCCTCTTACAACGACTGTCTATTCTGCGTTTCTATTCTCAGACAACACATGGCCAGAAATGCTACAATAATCAAACTTCCACTGACGTATATAGGGATGCTTGGATTGGATGCTCCAACATTCGCTGCGATGAGAGGAGCAATTATTCCACCAAGTCTATTCAATGAGTGGGCAATACCACAACCAGTTCCTCTACTGGATCCGGGAAAGGTTTCTGGAGTATATGCACTACATGTTGTTAGTACAACATAACAACTTTCACGTTGACAAATCTGATTGACTCACTAAAGAATTCCAAACATGATATTCTGGAAAAATGATGCTGCGCAACCAAAGCCAAGCTGAAAGCTGCTGTCGTTACGAAGGGTGAAAAGGAAGAAGCATACTCCGGCAATCATCGTTGCAAAGGCCATTGGTCTCTTACGGCCGGCCACATTGACAATATAGCAAGCCAAAAGAGACCCGGGGACAGCGGCTGTACTTATTATCAAGTAATTTCGATAAGTGCCGGATTCGCTTTCAGTTTTATTGCCGCCTTTCAAATATTGTGGTAAGAAGGAATTGAACAATGGATATCCTATTCCAATACAAAGCCAAATGATCCACAATAGACCCTAAATAAAATTAAAATCGGAGAATCGAAATACTCGGTACACAACTTACAGTGTTTATACCCAATTCAGCATCTCCAAACAGTGGAGAGATCTGCCTTTTTGTCTCTGGTCCGAAAGATGCAATTGCTTGACGTACCCGTACCTTGATGCTTGAATTCACTACATTAGTTACCTCTGCTGTCCCTCCTATCTCATTAAGAATTTCTTCGGTGAGCCACGTTTTAGTGCCGTTCTTATGCGCCAGAGCACGAACAGATCTCACAGCTTCCGCTTGCCTGTTCGAAGCAAGGAGGAATTTCGGCGACTCTATACTATCAAAAAACCAGCGAGAGATGGCCATTGCCAAAGTTATAGCACCCATGGTGTATAAGAAAAGTCTTAGACCACGTCTTGCTTCGAAATTTGATCCAAGGAAGAGCCATGCAAAAAGTGAAGCCACAACCTGCCCAATTGGCCACCATACAGACAGAAGTGTCAAGTAGATACGGTCTTTGTGTGGTAGAAATTCAAGCTACTAAAGCATCAGCAAGCAGCACTATGGAATATTAAACAAACGCAATGTCTCGAGTTTGAGGCGGGACTCCACGTTGAGGATGTCGACGTACAAACATAGTTCCATCTACCGGTAGACTACCTCCTACTCCAAGTCCAAGTACCCCGAGAAAAGCTGCCTCGGCGATAAAATTTGGTGCAATTCCTGTCAAGAAGGCAAATATTCCAGCAATGACTAATGTTGAGTTGAAACCGAGTCTTCTCCCTATTTTGTCCGATCCAAAACCCCAGCCAAAGGCGCCAAGCGACAATCCAACGTTTAAGAAGAGAGTGGCGTACCGAACATGTTGGTCAGATACACCATAAACAACAGAGGAGGTAGGCAGGATTAACGCTACTCCCTGGAGCCAGAGACTAATTTTTATCAGGTTCTATCATTTTCAGGAAATGGGAGGAGCAATATACTTATCCGCCGCCCATCCCATACCACATAGTACAAACAAATACCATTGATATTTTCCCATACCAATATCACTGATTGCAAGCTCTAAAATTCTAGATTTTACTATTGGAGAGTCAGTATGCATGTTCTCTCCGATAACTTATAAGATTAACGACACACATTCTAAGTCCGAAGCTGATGACCCAGTTCCTCCAATCTCATCCCTCAGCTCTTCTACTGTACGTGCGACTATCGGTGTCGAGCTATCTGCACTTTCCTGACTGTTCGCACCAGATGGCAAGCTTCCATCACTCTCTTGTCTGCCCAGGCTATCCTCAACCGATCGACTCTTCCTCTTGGGGGCATCAGGGAGCTGCTGTATGTGATCTATAGGCTTAGTAGCGTCCAGATATTCGGGCTTTGGTTCCCCAATTCGCAGACCGAGAATCTTCATTTTCACTCCGAAGTTGTTGTGTAAAAGTTGCTTGGGAAGTGGTGCTTTTTGGTTGATTGATCGATTGACGATGGTTGCTTTTTGGGTGAGTGCGTCTGATTGAAAGACTGAGTAGTTTTGAAGGTGCTTAGGACTTGTTGGATTTGTGATATTGCGAGTTGCTTTTGGTTGATTGATTGTGATTTTGCTATTTGATGTTTAACACTTTCACCTTGAAAATAGTATTCGTATCTTGGAAGATAGAAATGGGTTTCGATTGATTGATTGATTGATGCTACTATCCGAAGTCGAAGTTGATACTGTCGATTATATTTGGTGGATGGTTTATTGGGTTCCCATAATCTAGGCAACTGTGCATGTTTTCTGTTCTTATGTTTTCCGTATGCATAAAGGTTTAATAACACAGGTGTTATGGGCTTTGTATATATAAAAATTGTGTTAAAGGGGGCTATTGTGGGATTGGAGATTTGCTTTATATACATGAAGGGAATTTGATCTTCGAATCGTGGCATTATCATAGTGTTATGTAGAGGAAGGTGCTAGCCTATAGGAATATAATGTATGATAAGTTTGACGCCAGAGCCCTAAGGGGTATGGCTGGTCCCATGGTAACCAGATCCATTTTCAATAAAATCCATTTTTCTCATGTCCACGCTAATTTAGTGACTATTCTGCAAGTCATTGAGGTACTGGACACTTCTTGGCGTCGACTACCACTTCACGCGAGTTTCATTAGCGTGAGGAATATTACATGTGCTATGCAAAATTCAGTATTTCTTAGATGTACGATCTTGAGGGGAAAATTAAGGCCTCTTACAGACTTTAAATATATGATATTTGGGGGAGATGGGTGTAATCTTCACAACAAGTCTAGATCTTTCGCGGCTTGCGATGTGTATTCAAGCGAAGCAAAGTCACATCCTCTTCATTCTGTATTAAGTTTCTATTCTTCTCGTCCGGCGACTGCTTTAAATTGGCTTGACTTAAAATTATTTTGACGGACTGTACTACGGGAGAAAACAGTCAATCAGAGTTTGTTCTATCCGAGAGAGATGCTTTTAGCAATTTTAGGTGCCTCTATGAATGATGTCAGTATTAACGTTTCCAGGCATCTCAAAGTCAAATCCTTGGATTACAGGTACTTTTCTATCCCAAAAATGATGATGGCCAACTGAGTTATATTGAAAGTTTGTTCGAAAAAGCTTATTCGTATTAGCGAACAAGCTAAGTACACTAAACCTCCTCATGATCGACGTCTATTTGGAGAGAACGGCTATCATCGCATCTCCCACTTTTTTCTGCTTCGGTCTTGAGGATTTTTTTTTTCCTTTTTGGTTACTATGGTTGATAATTTAATAATTTCAATCATGCAAACTGTCTCCGGACTTTGTGGTGTCACACTACCGTATAATATTTCTGGGGGTCAGTCTGCTTACTCAGTGTTGTATCGTGTTATGTTTTGTTTCTAGCTTTTAATTCAAACTGTTCAAATTGTAATTCAACGCGATACATCAATGTCATCAGATGGTTTATTCGTTCTCTTAGAGTTTCCTACCATTTACATACCACAAGTAAGAATACGATGCGTTAACACACGGTATCTGACCCTTCTCTTTCTGTCAAGAATCCAGAGCCTTAAAATCGCAACTTTCATTGTCTTCCTTACTAAACTCTCACTTATCCTTTAACTCATGATTAGCAGCTGTCATGCATTCAAATACTTCATCTAAAACTCCTCAAGTCCATGAGAAATATACATACATCTTGTGTGCGTGAATATATCATAGTAGATTATTCTATAACGAACTATGTCACATCAACAATGACCGAAATTTGGTCATTGTTCACACTTCCAACTTTGCTTTCGGTGGTTAATCCTTAGATTAACCATTGCTGAGGCATTTTCAACAATGTCCGTCACGTCCCCCTCACTGATATGCTACAAATTATTGACACATTTTTCGCTGATATGTCTCGCTGGTGTATATTTCGTTACCACACTCCTATCCAACCTACACTCCTCTTTACATCACACTCCTCATCATAACCCTACCCACCTCATCACCCACCCACCCCTCACCTCACCATCCCTCCTCCTCCTCCTCCTCCTCCCTCCCAAAATAATAAAACCCCTCATCCGTCATCTCCAACCCCACAAAATCGCATAACCTATCAGCTGTGCTCTATACCGCATAGATATTAGCCCCAAATATTCCAACACGATGTTTCAACATATCCATGATTCAAACCCAAGTTATCTTGATGATTCTACTCATCCTTTGAGATACCATGGAACAGGAAAGGAGAAAGGAAGAAAGTGATGAGAAATAAGAAGAAGAAAAAGAAAAAGAACAAAAAAAACTAACCAATACAAACTCCGCAATCCCAGAAAGTACCGTCACGGAAAGATTCTCAAAACTATAATCTAGCATGAAAAAAGTCCAGGTGGAGGCGATGACGAGGACGCTGAAGAGGGTGAGTATTATGGTGAGGAGGTAGAGAATGCTGATGAGGAGGGTTTGGAGAAGTTTTTGGGGGCGGAGATTGAGGGGTAGGGAGGGGAGGGGAGGCATGGTTGTGAGAGGGGGGAATGAGATGCTGGTTGTTGGTTGGTTTGGAGGGATGGATGGATGGTTTAGAGAGATGGATGCTGGACTGCAGAAGCGAGCTTGCGAGGAGAGATTTGTGATGAAGTGTTGAAGTGTGATGAAGTGTAGAATCTGGATGTCGACGTCGAGGTCGATTTCGTTGATTTTTTTTATAATACTGAGCAAGCAATAGCAATAGCAATGCGTTAAAAGTTCCAATCATCTCCCAGTATCTCCTTTCCTTTCCCTTCATTCAGTCATTTTCTCTTCAGCTCTTGCCTAACCCATCATTTGAGAATCGAGAGATTTTCCTTCCTTCCTTCCTTCCTTCCTTCCTCATCAAACACAAACGCACTTTCTTCATCCTTTCTCTCCTTCTCTTTTCTGGGTAAAATTGAACAGGATAGAATACCATAAGATATCACAACTTCGATGGCAAATAATACAAATATGAAGAAAGCACTAATTTACCATCTACCTACGACTTACTCTACGACCTACTCTACGACATACATAACATCTCTCTACACGTCCTTCTTTTCCTCTTCTCCCCTCCCTTTACCCTCACTCCAGCACTCCCAAAAGCAAAGCCAAAAGCAAAGCCAAAAGCCAAAAGCCAAAAGCAAAATCAAAACCAAAACCAGCGCCTTCTCAATTCCCGTTCCCAATCTTCAGAATCTAGTCAGATACATGCACATACACCTACCTGCTAGGTATACAACCCCCCTTCCCTACTCTCACACCATCTCTCTCAATCACCATCTCTCCCCTTGTCCAACAATCCAAGCAAATCGTATATAAATACACACATCCACATCACATCCACATCACATCCACATCACATCCACATCACATCCACATCACATCCACATCACATCACATACACATCACACACACAAACCACAAATAGATCCATCCTAAATCATCCACCCTCCACTCCATTGTACAATAATATCTCTAATATAAAAAAACGATTCTATTTACCTACCCACTCCACTACCCAGTACCTAGCAATTATTTCTCCACTCCAAACAGCAAACTTCCTCTCTCCCTCTCTCCCTCTCTCCCTCTCTCCCTCTCTCCCTCTCTCCCTCTCTCCCTCTCTCCCTCTCTCCCTCTCTCCCTCTCTCCCTCTCTCCCTCTCTCCCTCTCTCCCTCTCTCCCTCTCTCCCTCTCTCCCTCTCTCCCTCTCTCCCTCTCTCCCTCTCTCCCTCTCTCCCTCTCTCCCTCTCTCCATTACATATCCATATATGTGTCCATATATGGGTCCATAAATAAATTCCCAACCCAGTCACTCAAGAATCCAGTCACCCAAGAATCCAATCATCACCCAAGAATCCCATCATCACCCAAGAATCCCATCCAAACCAAAACTCGCGAGCCATAAAACGAAAGAATACTCATCAGTAACCTACCTACCTACCTACCTACCTACCTACCTACCTACCTACCTACCTACCTACCTACCTACCTACCTACCTTACAACTATCCATCCATACAAGTTCAAAACACTGACTGACCAACCACATCACACACCCATTACACCACACATCAAAACCCCTAACCTCAATCTCGCTAATTTCGAGAAGAAGAAGAAGAAGAAGAAGAAGAAGAAGAAGAAGAAGAAGAAGAAGAAGAAGAAGAAGAAAACACTAAAAGAAAAGCTTCAAAATTTGCACATCACTTTCCACCATTTCCACTCTAATGTTATCAATTTCACAAATTCAATTCTCATTTATTGTAATTACTTCACATAAATGCATACCAAGTCTTGCAGCCAAATATCTCAGCTCATTATTACAATGTACACATCCCATCCACTTCAGACCTAGTAGTCTAATACCAAGTGCAATCAATTAGACCAATCCCTGATCATCCATTCAAATTTCATGACAATCATGAATCTAGGGGGTATTTTTCCACCATGAAAATTAAAAAAAGCCATGCCATACCATATGCCATCCTTCCATGCCATGTTCTCGCATGCTAAGAAAACCACACCTTACGCAGCCGCGTTCAACAGAACATTCATACGCCAAAGCCATGTTGTGAGATTTCCGAAATAAGTTGAGAACGCCCTAACATGAAGATGTAGCAAAAATTAGTGTACGCCAAACGATTGGTTGTGTTTGTCCTCCATCCATTTTCCCTAAAATCAACGCCGCTGATAAGCACCTATGCAAAGAAGCTAATCCATCCAACCCAAAAAAAAGCTGGTCAATTTTGCAAAACTCCACGCCGCATAGTGCTCGTGTATTCATGTGTCGTAACGAAAATCCAGTAAAGAAAGGTTTAATCATCGTCCAATTCAATTATCTCTATCACGGTATGCCTAACGTCATTTGTTGATTTCTTTCTTAGTCTTTCTTCATCTATCGAATCGTCGTCATCGTCATCAGTGGTTGACTTTCGTTTATGTGAAGGTTGCGACTCCGTTTTTGGACGCCACGTACCATTCGCCGCGACTAGGATGGTTTTCACGTCAAGCTTATCTTGTTCCTGTAGTTTGTCTCTCACAGAAGCTAGGAATTCATCATACCGAAGGCTGTATGGACGTGCATCCTCAGAGCACAGCGGACACTTCCAAACGTCAACCATACAAGGTTGATCTGGTCGTTTCGGCTTGCTTGGGCGTGTCGACAGGAAAGTTGCGAGATCAAAACATTCCCGATGCAAACAATTCTTACCGCGAACAGGGATTTCAAAGATTCTCGAGGTAAAAGGATCAGTAAGACCAATGGAAAGATCAGTGACTACTATCGAAAGTTCATCGTCGTCCTCTGTCGGGCCTGCAAGCTTCTTTTTAATCTCTTCCACGACCGTTGCTGCAGGAATGCTTTGTTCTTTGCACTTGTCCATAATTTCATTGTGCTGTAAAATCTCAATCTCTTCCACAGCCAGAAAATATTCCTTTTCTTTAGTTGTTGTAGGTAACTTGGGCATCGATATGGTAATCTCGTTGGTCCCAGAATTTACATAAGGCGTGATATCGATCGGAAGATCTCTCCCATGGTGCCATTTGCGTCTAGCCTCCAACTCATGGCTATTGATATCCACAAAGATCATTTCGGGCCACACCGTATCCGAAACAACCCATCTCGAAATTGGGATTTCATTTGCATCTGCGACTGCTGACACACATCTCAATCGAAATTGAAGAGATTGCGATTTGACTTCTCGGACCATTAAACACTCTTTGGCAACCAATTTATCACTAGAAATACGCGTCAATGCATCGGCAGAAATCTGGAACTCTAATCTGTTGAGTGAGGATTCGAAGGGGATCTTCGTTGGAGCCATGGGAAAATCCTTCACAAATTGATAAAATCTGCGAGAGACGCCATCACAGCCAAGGTTAGGAGTAGCGATAGTAACAAGGCGAGGACTGCGAAGGTTCGCTTGATGAAGAGCTTTCATATCTGGATCTGGAATTCCCTGGGGATGTATAAAACCAAGGGGGGGGATGAAAGACCTTTTCATGCGATCGGGCATGTTGCTATATTGTATGCACTCTTGCTCTTCAATGGACATCGGCCTTGGGTACGGAGGTCCTTGGTTCCCTTGAGGATTGTTTCGCATATAAATAGAACCACTCATCAACGGAGACACACGCTCGCCGGAAACGCTATTATTTCTGGTACTATTTCTGCTAGCATTTCTTGATAAAACTTGCTGCTGCTGTTGCTGACCATTGATTGAATGGTTGTCTCTTCTCGGATGAGCTTGACGCTGCAGTGCTAAAGGTTGATGTTGGGCTTGCTGCTGTTGAGACATCTGATGCTGTAACCAATGTTGTTGCTGCTGTTGATGTTGTAGATGCTGCTGATGCATTTGAATTTGTTGAAATTGTTGAGAACTCGTTTGTTGGGTATTGTTTGGGCCATACTGTGCTGGGACATTGGCCTGTTGCATATATGGTTGTGGATAATGCTGTTGTTGTCTCATGTCGAATCTTGGGTCAAAATTATATTGGCCTTGAGGAAGTCCCTGATTTTGTGCTATGATTGGTGATTGAGGACCATTACTCTGCAAGACCGATGGCGGGAATTGAGAGCCATTACTACGCAAGATAGGTGACGAATATTGGAATCCTTGTTGGACTGGCGACCCCATAGATAAAGCTTGTATGGGAATTGCACCAGGTGTGTCTACACCTGTACGTGGTGTAATACTTTGATGACTACCGGTCGCACTTGCCATCATTAAAGGCGATGAAGGTCTAGTGAACGAGGTTCGTATTTGACTTAAAGTTTGACCAGTTTGACGATTCGGAACATGATTTTGCTGCGGAGTATTCTGATTGGAATTGAAACTCGATCCCATTAGATGAGGGTATGGTCCATTCGGAATCCTTGAGGTTTGGCCGATGCTCGAGGGAGTCGCTGGTGCTGCAGTTGAAGGTTGCGGAGCAATATTCGTCATCATCTTCTGGCGCGCTTTCAAAGATATCATCATATACTTTTGTATTACGGTTTTAGTTCTCTCTCGAATCTCCTTTTCCGAGGGTGGTCGAGAAGTGTTATATCGAGCAGCAAGTTCTCTGTGTCCGATTCTATCTTGTTCAAACACTTTTTCCATTTCATTACCATATCCATCATCCACGATATTAAGATTGCGCCTCGTCGCAGTGAATACAATATTCTGTAAAGTCGGTGACAAGAGCCCTAATTCATTAATTAATTCATCAACTAGCGGCGGGTGGCCTCTGCTCGCACATATCCTCGTTAGTTCCGACCAATTAGAAACCAACTTTGACAGAAATGTGCCGACTTCTTGAACGATTCGCCGATATGGCTCGGAATTTTTCATCAAATCAGTAAAGGGACTTGGAAAATTAGCAAACCATCGAAGGTGATTCGGTGCCATGCCTTCATTGTCTCGTATCAGCTGACCAAGTATCCGAAACGCATGAGTTAAAGTCACTGAGTCTGGAAGCTCAGTTATGCCTGTAATATCTTTACGGCTTGTATCCCACACACAAAAC